ATCAGTCTCTTAAGGCTTTCAGAAACAGTTTCAGAATTAACTGTTCTTTTTTTTTTTTTTTTTTTTTTTTTTTTTTTTTAGACAGGGAATTTTTAAAAATCCTGATCATCATTGTGAATCTTGTCATTATTTTCATTTTTAACTCTATTATGAGCTTTCCAGCTCACACTTTGGTGAGCCTTGCTGCAGAGCCTGAGCAAGAATCAACTTAACAGTTCTACTTAACAATGCTATTTTCTGGTGTTGCTTTTTATAGTTGCACTGTGTGTTCTATTGCTTTAATAAAAAGTGGACGACAAGTATAGATAGTGAGCGACTAGCTCTTCAGAATAAAAGTGAGAGTAGAAGGGTAAATGTAACTACGTAACCATACAGTAATTTTAACTCACTTCATTATCTCCCCATGTAAGAACAGCTGCTGCTGCCTTTTTTTTTTTTTTAATTCACAAAACATAGTTTTAGATAGTATGTATAACTACTCTTTGAAGTTTTTTTCCTTTACTTTTCTACATACTGGGAAATGAATGCCCTTAGCTCTGCTGTGGACAGAATGATTGAAATGAATGCCCTGCAGTTTAGGCCTGAGTGTAAATACCTTGTGTCCTGTCTAGCAAGAGCTACTCAGTGCAGCAGAAGGCACAAGAAACTCTACCATGTATTCTCATTGACATAGTGAGCGCTTACGCTGAGAGAAAGCAAACAGGAATTCTGTTTGAAGTTAATCCCATTAATGTCTGAGGTGATAAGAGCCAGAATGCCCATGGATTGCTGTATTCCTTCTGCATTGTTCATACTCACAGAACATATAAACACAGGTATACTGAGTGCGTGGTTAGACATAAATAGAACGCCTCTGCTCAAACAGTCCAGGAAAATGAACCTACTCACATGGCATGTTTTCTACCAGTCTTCTTGAGTTGCTCTGGAAATATATTTTTACCAGACCTTTTGACAACTCACGCCTACACCCAGAGAACTCAGAGGCTTAGGTATTATCCCTAAAGGAGCACTGCTGCATCAGTACCTTGACAATGAGACATGGTACATATAAGGACATGAAAAATTCCCTCAGATGAGGTAGGCAATGTGTCCACAGCCTCTTCTAGTTAAAATCTCTTTATGGGACCAGTTCCAAAACTCACTTTCTGAGAGAAATGATATCCTACATGACCAAGAGATCTCGTATAGACAAAAAAACCCCCTTCACTGTAACTCCTTGACTTTCCATTTCTAAGTCCCCAGAATTTAGGGGTCACAGAACTCAGTTTCCCACTTTTAACATGGAGAAATTAAAGAGAAAATTAAATAACTGTGTATGTGCAAGCTTGTTTGAGCTATCCTGTGAAGTTGCATTGCTAAAAGCAGCATTGATTGTAATTTATGGATCTGTGTTCCAGAACAAGAACATACAGCATGACTTGTCAGCAGTTGTTCTTGCAGAATTAAACATTCCAGAAGCCCTCACTTTAGTCTTTTCTCTGCTTAGTAGAATGTGAAATTTACACTCCCCCTTGTGCCTCCACCTTTAATTTGTGCTTACCATACATGTCTTTGAAGATGTAGTAATTTCCCAGCTCCTTCCTCTCAGAGTGTTTTCCTGTAGCTTGCATTGCTGTTTGTTTGAGCTGAGGTAGCACATTTTTGCTCTTTGTCTGCAGCCTTAAGAATTTTGGGAACCCTCATTTGCCATGTTTATAGGCTGCATGGTAAAGGCACATGTATGTGCTGGGACTTCCACTGGTGATTCTCTGTTTCAGCAAAATGCCAGTAAGAAAGAGGATGCTTATTTTTCAGTGTGCTACAGGAAAATAGCTCTCATCTTCAGTGTCTAATGATGTCATATTTAATGTAGGAATCTGAAGTATTATGTGCAGATATGAAGTAACTACAGTGTCTCTAAAAGCATCTGTGGAACGCTAGGATGGGTTTACATGTTTCTGAGATTCAACTAAATGCAGAAGACTTTGTTGAATTGATCCATGAATTGGAACTATGCCTTTGTTTGCCAGAATTTATTCTGTGATGCCAGTAGTTGTTACTAGCAGACAGTGATTCTTTAAAACTGTTGTATTTAAAGTGTACATTCTCCTCAGATTACTGAAACTGTAGGCACAGATTTGGGCAAGACAGGGATAAACCTGTTGGCTAAGGGGCTTGTGGAAGAGCCGTATGTTTTCTAATTAGCGTGCTGCTTGGATGAAATGATAAGCTAGGCCTGTTAGATATGATAATATCTGAATGTCACTTCACACCGTCAGTTTATTGCCTTTCTGTAGTTTTGTGATGAAGAAAAATTGTTGTGTGGTTTGCATAACTCAACTGGGATAGAACCCTTTTGTTTTTCACAGCCTTGAAAACAGAACTACTCCTTGCTCAAAGAAGAGACAGTTCAAAGGGGGAAAGCAGGCATAGAGAGGAAAGGGAACCTTCTCTGGGCACAACAGAGAAGAATTTGTTTTTGCTCAGGATATGATGTACTGTCAAGTCTCTTATTTACTCGAACTTGGCCCTTCTTGCATAATATGATGTAACTTTTTCTGCAGTGCTGCTGATATGTAGTTGTTAAATTTGACCTGAATTTGCTGCTTCTACTAATTTACTCTGTTAAGATTCAAGAACAAAAACAACAAAAGAATTGCAAGAAATGATCTTGTATTTCAGTGTAAGCTTTATGTGTTTATATGTATATTATGTTTGTTTGCTTGAAAGGCTTAGTCTAAAATAAACCCAATACCAACAGGATCATCATGTGTATTTTCAGAGCTGGCCAAATAGCCAGAAAACTTTGAACAAGCTTAACAAAATCCTGAAAGCTTTTTGTACTGGTCAAAGCAGGTCCACCTGAGTCTATTTCCCAAAGTAGAGAAATTCAGAAAAGTGAAAGGGAAGGGATTTCCTTCTTCTAAAACCAGGATATTGGAACATTTCTGCAAACAGAGATATTTGTGGTGCATTGTTAGGCTACCTCAAGAGAACTGTGTTTGCTCTTCCAGCGTGCTAACCATTGTTTTCTTTTGTATTGTTTTCTACTTTTTGGCAGGATGGTCCCATTCCCAGCCTGCACTTACTACTACATACAGATTAAAATGCTTTTATTTTTTTGCTTTTTTGCAGAGCCAGCTATAAACCTGTTAAGCTCTGCATTGTATGACTTCTGTTATGCAGAGGTATATCTAAGGCCCAAAAATACAGCTGGTGCTGTATGAACACACAAAGGTATACACTTGCCTCTACCTCACATTACAGACATGGAACACAAGTTTAAGATTAAATACATGCATTTTTTTTTTTCCCTATGTAATTCTTTCTAACTCTTTTCAAATAAGTATCAGCGATTCTTATTTGATTTCATTTATAAAATACCCTTTTTAGATATAACGTACAATGCAAAAATGAACAGGTAGGCTGAATAGGAGACTTAGGTAGCAACGGATCTTTATTACATTGGAAAAAAAAAAAGTGGATTTGCAGACGGCTCTGATTAACTAAAGATTTTGCAGTTAATTCTGAAAGACTGAACTTTCACTCAGGTTTCAAAAGGGTCGGTATTTGCACATTTGGAAGGGTCATCCTGTCTACCTCAGTATGCACCTGCTTTAAGAAAGAGCAGCAGCCTGGCTGAAAAAAGGTCTCTCTGTTGATCAGAGAGGTGACTGCTTTAGCCTTGACTCATGAGTTCTAGGTGGATTGTGTTAAGCAGGTTGAATCCCACCTGGTCTACTTTGGGCTTGACTGTAGTTAAAATTAAGTATGAGGACTCTGAAAGTAATGTCTCCTGTATTATTCTTACGTTGGGCCATGATGTCAGAGGTGGATATTGGTGGTATGACAGTAGAGATTGAAACTTCCCACCAGTATTCTGTTACATACATGCTGTGTGACAGGTGGCAGCAGTGGGGCGGTTTGATGAGATGATGTCTGACATGGAAGTGCGTATGAAGCAGAGGTGTGGAAATTGTATTCCTCTATGTGGAAAAAATTGCACCCACTGACATTCGTCAATGCTTGTTGGATACTTCTGGAGATCAAACAAAGAATGTGAGCACAGTGAGATGGTGGGTGGTGTGCTTCAGCAAAGGTAACACTGGCAGTGAGGCAGATTTTTACAAGTGTGCCATGCAGGATGCTGTTCATTGCTGGTGAAAATGCATAGCTAATGGTGGAGGCTGTGTTGAGAAACAGTGTTTTGTGGCTGGAAATTTACTCTGTCAAATAGTGTTCTTGTGCTCTTTGTGTCTGTTGTAGTTTCCATGAGAATAAATAGCAGGCATTACTTTAGGAGCAACCTATGTAAGTCATCGTAGTTATTTTTCTGTGAAAGGTCCTTGTCAATCAGATTGACAATTCCTCACGTCTCATTTTTCGTATTACAAAGCAGATGAAAATGCAGTGAGAGCAAGAATCAAGAGGAACGTAATACTCAGTCTGTGTAAATCCTTAGCTTTGTAGAGGGCTCCTTAAAGCCCTCTAAAGGACTGCAAACCCAGCTTATCACAGAATCACATAAATGCTTTTTTAGAGTAGATGTTGTGCTTTGAAAACTCACCTGTAATGGCTTGGCTTTGAACACATGAACACAAGTGTCTTCCTAGTGTGTAGTTGTTGGCCTCTTGTGTTTTGTAAAGGAAAGTACTTCAACATAGTGATCAAACTTTAAGAAAAGCATTAATACAACAAAACTCTACATGTAACTCATGTTCCGGCTCATTAACAAGAGAAATGTACTGGTAAAGCCAGTTTAGCTGAGCTTCCTACCTCTTGTAAAGTACTGCAGTGTATAAACTTACCTAGGTTCTTGCTCACATCAAGTGTTGAGGGATTGGTTTTGAGTGGTGCTGTTCATCTGTTTTGTTTTGTTTTGTTTTATAGCTCAGCTGTTTGGAGATACAGCAAAACCTAGAATAGTCCTTGACTGACCTCAAGCTGTGTGTCAAAAAAAAAAAAAAAAAAGCACTTTCTGAAATGTGTGGTGTTTTACTGTTCTATTGTGCCTTCTGCAGAGTGGCAAAAGTCATGAAGGTTCCTGTGTATGAAACACCAACAGGATGGAGATATTTTTCCAATCTCATGGATTCTGGACGTTGCTCACTCTGTGGGGAGGAAAGCTTTGGCACTGGTAAGCAGTACGCAATCAGACATTTCCGGAGACTTTTAATGACATTAATTTTCCTAGGTACATCAAGTCAAAGCCAAAAAAGAATAATAATAAAAAATTCAGTAAATTATCTTGTGCTTGAATAAAGGACTGTCAGCTTTTCATATTTTAGGAGTCTGGTAGTAGTTGCCATGTGAAAGATGGCGATCTTCTTGCTGTTCTACAGCCTTCAAAGGCATCTGCCACCATATTCTGACTTGAATGTTATGTGGAAGGATGTCTCCAGTTCCACTGTAATAGTATTTTTTATGGACCGCAATGGCATTTTGAGGGATTTTGCCTGTATTTGCAAACTATTGTTTTGCAGACTATTGTTTTTCCCAGCATGAATCAGTGTACAAAGTGAGGATTGTTATGTCTAATCAAACCTGTTGCGTGCATCCCTTTTTTAGAACATTACGAACACTGGAAAGCCAGACAGTGATAAAGTCATCACTAGAATAAATTCAGCTGAATATCAACACCTGTTCTCCCCTAAGTATTTCTCCCTTATCTGTTGCAAGAACCAAACAACAGAATGCAGAAAGATAAATCTGAGCTGCCCTCATTCAGAGCAAACCTGTAGCTTATGCTCTACAAAACTGAACAAATTTGGTATTGTAGAATGAGAAAAACTGAACGCATTTTACAGTGCTTCTTTTTTTCTTTCCTGGATTCTGGAACATAATTTATTTATTCTTTATGCTTTTTATTACTGTGGTTGTGATATGGGCGTTTTTAAATAATTGCATATCAGAATAACTTAACATATTGCATGGTTAATAACACATTGCATATTTTGATGCAAATTCCATGAAGTTTGATTTTGTGTGTGTGTGTAATTCCTTGACTGCAGCTTTTCATAGAAAATTATTTATTGTGCAGTGAAATCTGATTAGAGATTTCATATTGCTTTGATTTAGTTAACTCTGGAACTAAGTTACCATTAGCTCAATTAGGCCAGAATGCTGCTTGTTTAAAAATGAGGATATCTTTAAGCCATACACATACCACTTTAATATAGCCGCTCATTAAATCCAAGAATACATTACTTTTCTTTGGATGTCGGTAATAATGAGTAAAGAATGTGTGTTTTGCTTTCTGTTCTGATTGTGAAACACTGTCCCACTACTAACACTCTGGTTGCCTTGGCTTCACTGTGGTGTCTGCCACAGTATGGTACTGCCTTGGATAGGTTTTTTTCTAAGGGTTTTCTGCAAGGTCATAGAATGACAGTTTCAGCTTGGGAAGGGGGACATTTTCAGAAGATCTTGTACCTTTCAGAACATACTGTCATTTGTGCCTAACATCCGTTAGGCTGCATCTCTGTTTGTGAGAGGTCTGAACCAGAGGGGAGGTTTTTGATGCTTTTTCACTACATCGGTTCTTCACTTCTCTCTGGATATTAAAGTTTCTCTTGTGGTTATTTCCATGAAAGTTAGCCCTTGAGACATCAGCATATGTCATTAACACCTAAATTATTTGATAACGAGCAACCCTGTTTTCACTGTCACGCTGTAGGAAGGGAAAAATGTGATTTGTGATTGGATTTAGCCTGTGAGAGTTTGATGGTGAGCTCCCACAGACTGAACTACATCTGGATGCCCTAGCCTACTGAGTGTAGTGTGTCCTACTGCATGAAGAAGACCAAATAACAAATTTCCCTGGCACCTTGAAAAGATATGACCTGTATCCATGTGCACGCTCAGGTCTTCCTCAGTATCAGTTATACTGATCTGCAGATCAGCCATATCAAGAGATCAAGCGAAAAGGTTTCTGAGCTTGGCCTTCTGAAACACTGAAGATGTTGTGATTTGTGTTGACCTTATTTCTTTATTAACCAAAGTAGCAGATGCTTGTTGGAGTGGGGGAAGATGGACTATTAGAGATAAAGGAAGAGCCTGTGGAGTTTGCCTGTTCCTGAAAGTAGGCAACTGTAACTCCTCTCTCCACCTGCCCTAAACTTTTTCCCATTACTTCCATCTTTCTGTAAAGTCCTAAACTAATAGTATTTTGTACTGTAGCCTCTATTCTGATTTTGCAGCTCTCATCTCCTGACTTCATACCCATCTCTGCATTCCTAGCACTCTTTGTATTCCTGTTTTAATCTGATTCTCCTATCCCGTTATTAATTCTTCATATTTCTAGTAAATTCTGTCTCTTGTGAGTTGTTATGGTGCTTGAGCAACATGTTCATGGACGATGTGGAGAGCTATTCTTACAGGAACACAGGACATGTGCATCTTAGTCCACTTTGATCACTTTGCCTAGAGGGCAATTACAATGATATCTAAGGTTTGTTTTTCTCTTTGCCTCAATTTTCTAATCATCTTTCAGTTCTGTGCAGCTGTCTGGAAAAACCACATATGCCAGGATGTTTATTAGTAAAACATAGGCCGGTGTGTAGATGACCAATACTTTAGCAATGTGAGCTGTTTTTAGCAATAAATATTTACCTTATTGTGAACCTTTTGATAATGTCCAAAGAGTTGCATGACCTTCACAACTTTCTGCCAGTATTGGGCATTTGAGTAAATTTTACATCTCTCATCTCTGTCACAGCTATTTAGGGAACTGAAATGACACATCTTAGTTTTCAGTGCAGAAGTTTTCAAGAAATATACCATATAGCAGATCAGAGCATGAAAATCATTGTTCTGTGCAAGAGAATGGGGATTTACATATCTATATTATACTGTCAAACTAACCATGCAGCACAGGAGACTGATTGGTTGTATACTTAGGTAATCCAGCCCAGCTGGAATTTCCAAACAGTACAGAGCCTTAGTTTTATAATATAAGGGATTTTGTACTGGCAAATAAATAAAAGCAAATTTTCTGCTATAAAAGGACAAAAGATTTTGAAAACATCCCTAGTGCTGCGTTTCCCAGACTTGTTTTCTGGCAGCTGATCTTGGAGCTCAACCAGTACTTTAAAATCTTCTTCCATTTTTGTAGTCGTGTGGAGAGCTTGTCAGATGAGGTTAGTAGCTTTCTGGTTCTATGACTAATGCTGAGGACACAGTTCAGAGAAGGGCATCTGCAGCAGCAATTAGTTTCTAAATTTCATCAGCAAAGAATTAATCAGGATTCAGAGAGCAGTGTGGTTGATTTATCTTTCTGCAGTTTAAGCCATCAATCAGTAATTGATGCATCTTTCATAAACTTGCATGTTCCATCTCCAAATTTCCAGATGCCATTAACAACTACTGCTTTCTCCTGCAAGATTATGTGTAAGAAGAACTAGTGGAGAATACAAAGATGGTCTGCTGCTGAAAATAATGAAAGCCTTTAAAGAGCTGTATGGTCTTATCTGTTACAGTAATACAGGACTCCATTTGCCCAAAATATCACCAAGATTCAAATCACTGAAGGATAATTTTGTAAGGCTCAAACTGTGTGCAGACAAAATGTTCTACTGTGAGCTTATATACATGCTTCAGTCTCACATTTGTTTTAAAATTTCATTACAGAGGGCAATATGCTAGACAGAATTGGCTAATTTAGGGAAAAGCAATTACATTTTCCTCTTATATATGATCCTCAAGGCTCACTGTCTATCAAAATTGGAACTCTTCTCAGATAAAGAATAAATGAGACATATAAAAGAAAGCCTGCATGCCCAACAGCTTGACAATATCAGAAAAAAAATAATCATGCAAACATTTTTTCATGATTTTCCTTGTTGCTCAGGCTACTGACTCTCAAGACTACTTCAGTTTAAGCCTGTCTGTGTACTTTCTTGTGAATGGGAATGTGCTCTAACAGTTTTTCCCAGTGTTTACTCTGAGTCTGCCCATAGCAATTAACTGTTGCAGTAGTATAAAATAACTTTTGTTGTTATTATTATATTGAGAAATATATGGCAAACGAACTTAAAAATAAGCTGTCAGAGTACTTGCTGTTATTGTAATTTTCCTTACCAATGGCAAATTGAATACAGTGACATAATTAGAAAAACGTTTGTTGACTCCACTGTTCTTTTCTGTTTTGTCTCCTTACTGGCTGGAATTCATTAATGCTATATATTTTTCAATCAGAAGTACCAATGAGAATTATCCTGAGATTGCTGAGTGCCCTCAGCAAGACAGAATGACTGGTAGTACTACAGTCTCAGGAATTGTGAAGCACCTTTCATTTGATCACTTTGCACAAACTGCCTCTGCAGATTCACAACAACAGATATTAGGTATATGAACTGGAGGAAGATACTGTTAACAGAGCTGGCAGAACTAGCTCCCTGCCTTGTGTTTCTGGCATGTGAGCTGGACAGTAAAAGGGAGAGAAGAAGTGAAGACACCTACAAAGATAAAACAAGTGAAAACCAGAGTTCACTAACAGAGTGGCAGTAGTGGATTTTAATTTACTAAAAAGAAATGACAGCAGTAAATTTGCACATATGTGCAAATAGTAGCCCAACTAGTAGATCAGCTGGTAAAATAAGAGGTGGAATAAACAGGTTCTGAGAAATTCCCATTGTCATTTTTCCTTCTAATAAGAATAATGAATCAAGACATTTCTTGGGAACAAGGTTATTGTTATTGTTAGGCTAGTGTTTTTAATCACTGATTTTTTTTAATTCTGAAATGGTTGGGTTGTTTACAGATTACAGACTTTTGCCTCTGGGTTGCTTTCTTCGTATCCTTTTCTTTCCAGAGGAACAACAATCTTTATGTCATCATGAAGGACACACAAGGACACAACACGCGCCAAAGCTGCTAAATGGATCAGAAGAATGTTACGTGTGTACACTCATCCCTCTTCACAGAGATTTATAAGCTTAAGCCGTGCCAAAACAAGGCTCAGAGATCTTTCCAAAAATTCTTATGTCCATGTTTCACTGGACCAGTTTGATCCAGTGAAACATACTCAAACTGTTTGTGAAATCAAAATGCTTATTTTCTTCGTTGCTAAGTTTAGACCTTTGCACACATGTCAAGATGTATTGGCAGTTTTGCTGACACTTTGGTGTGCCTTTCACTGTGTGATTTGATGGCTTGCAGTCTGCAGCGTGTTGCACAATGGGAAAGTAAATGATCACTTACTTTGAAACAAATCACTGGAGTGTTTATCTCTACTGTATCTCCACTTGCTGCTTGTGTCCGTTGAGCAGATTAAGCAATTTAAGCTGTGGGTAATATCAGCAATAGAGATGACTTTTAAGCAGAATTAACTTTTCCTGTGGTAAGAATGAATATGTAAAAGAAGAACCAGGAAGGTTAAGAAAAAAGGGAATGCATAGCATTCCCAATCTCCTCCATCCTGCCCAGGACCCCCCACCAGCTCCTGTTCCCAAAACAACTCAGCAGAGCCAGGCTGCATTTCCACACCCTTTTGTCCTTCCCAGCAGTCAGGACACTCAGAAAGTCCCCTGCAGCTGTGCTGGCCTAACAACTTTTCCTGCTGTTACCAGAGGAATGACAAGTGCAGGTGGGAGGTGACAGCCCTCTTCTACATCCTCCTTTTAATGGCAGTGGCAGAAACTGCACTGGCAGCGTTTCTAGGAACAAACTCTTGTCTATATAAAAGATAGGATCATGCCATCTGCTTTGCATGTGAGCAAAGCTGATTTTGTTATCTGTAGACCAGATTGTTGGTATTTCTGCAGAAGGGATCCTTCAGTTGATCTACTGTGTTATTGCGTAGAGAGAGTAGAAAAGGTGAGGATCTGATTATCTGAAGGGCTGAATTCCTGTTCGGGGACATTTGTTTTCTTTTTTTTTTTCTGGATCTAAAGCTATTTGCAAAGCTCCAAGGGCTCATAAGTAACCCTGCCCTTTTTCTTGTGATCAAGCAGCACTACATGCTTTGATAGCATCTGGAGGCTCTGAACCAGGGAACAAAGTAAGCTCTTGGAGTTTTTATAGCAGCTGCTAGGGGACCAGGCTATAGCTCTAGGCACTGTATTAGTAGACTGTCCTTGTTGGGAACAGTTCACAGACTGCAGGTCAAAGGCAGATCAAAATTGGCAGAAAGACAGTATTCTCAATATCATGACAGCTACTTTGCAAACATGAAGGAACATCGCTGTGTGTCTCAGTTCTTAAATCCATTTGAGCTATTCAGTGTCCTAGTTTTCTACAGAGCCCAACTCATAGACTCAAGCATAATCTCCATATATCCTTTTTTTCTTGTGCTTCCTAGAAACATTTTTCTCCTTTACAACTTTTTTGTAATCATTTTTATGCAGTTCTGGTATTGTGCTGAATTAGTAATTTACACATAGTTAACTCCGTAGTAATTTTTTTTAAATGTTAGATTCAGGAGGGATGGGAGTCTATACCTCTGGGGCTGAATGAAAGCCAAGGTGTCTAAGCTACAGGCAGAGCTGTGAAAATCCCAGGTCGATGGGCACTTAGCAAATTTGTGTGAATAGCAGCTGCTACCTTGACTTGCTGCTCTCTGTCAAAAAGATGGACTGAAAGTCAAAGGCAGCAATGGTAACTGAAGGATGGATGTCAAGAGTTAACCCCAGAAATCACAGTTGCTCCAGGCATATCTTACTGTTCTCCTTATGTCTTTAATTTTCTCTTGACAATTTTTCACAAGATTAACAGCTTCAATTTATATAACAAAAACCAGATCCTTTGCCAGTAGGAAAACACAGCCATTTTTGACAAATATGTGTACAGAACTTGCAGGCTATTATATAAAACTACTGCAAAGCAGACTTGGTGCAGCAGAATTTTTATATTTGATGATGGAGAATATATCATGCAACAGATTTTGAAACAAAAACCTTTCTGATTTCCCTGAGAATTTTCTGCTGAGTAATTTCTAGAGACACAGTCAAACTATTGATCAGTAATTCATGAGGGGAAAAAAAAAATTGTGATTTAATGTACCTTGTACCCAGGTTTTCTACAGTGTAAGAACAGAAAATGATAACTAAATGGAACTAAAAAACTTGAATCAAATCTGGTGTTTCACATATCAAGGTTCTTGAGTCTATTACTTGAAGTAGTCATCTTCCAGTATCTGCTAAGTCCAGCATCCTGGATCTTGCTTTCTATTGATTTTCGGAAATGTTCACCTAGATTAGGTGCAGATTGCCACAGAAACTTGCTGTAAATTATCCAAAAGGAGGGGGTGCTTGCTGACATGGCCATGACCTTTTCTATGTAATACTCTTTGGTTACGAAATTATAATTTTATTGAAACTTTTTGCTTTTTGACACATTACTGTTTTGACAGACAGAGTTTACTTTCATAGAAATGTTTCTGGTCAAGGTAAGTGATATGGCTACATCAAAGCACCTCGTTACTCCAAGTTTCCTTTTGGTTTTGTATGTGGAAACTAGTAGTTCAAGTCCATGTTATTTGAATTCAAATAGCAGACTCGAATTTGTGTCTCCTGTATCCTTGAATGTGTCCTAAATCCCATGGGATTTTCAAAAATTATTCTTAGTTTCTTTTGTATTAATTTGTCATAAATATGAAACTAGGAAGGAATTTAGATCTGAGCATTCGAACGTTTTTATCTCTGAAAACTAAGGAGGAAGTCAGACAGGGAAAAAAGTTTTCTGCTTTTTTTTTTCCTCCACAAGCTATTTATCATGGGTTTTTTGTGTTTTTTTTTTAATTATTATTATTATTATTATTATTTTTAACGTATATATATATTTATTTATTTGACCTGATGTAAGGTTATAAGTATTCTGGAAATTCTGGAAGGGAGATGCTCTTGAACTTGACTCACATAACACAGAACACTGGCCAGGAGTCTGGGTGTCTTGCCCAGTTTGGGGAGACAGTACCAGAAGTGTGGAAATAACCTGTATGTATAATGATTAATGATTATAATGATTATAATGATACTGCTACCACTTCAATCCAAGTATTTGTATATTTTTTATTTAATGTTAGGAGTATAGACTTTGTCGTATGTAAAAGTAAATTCTGGTTATCACTCTGGGAGCTACCATAGTTGTGGAAGCTCGTACCTTCCTGGTTACTGTTATATGATGTACAAGTTAAGTGAGACATTTGCCCAGCCTCCTCAGCTTATTTTCTTATACACAGTGGTATCAAATAATGTGCTTTACATATCTCTCTTTAGGGTCTGATCACCTTCGAGAGAAAGACGGACTATGGGCTGTTCTAGTTTGGCTTTCAATCCTAGCAGCTCGAAAGCAGAGCGTAGAAGAAATTGTCAGGGATCACTGGGCAAAGTTTGGTCGACACTACTACTGCAGGTGAGAAAAATGAAGAAAAGGTACAGAAACTTATGCAGTCAGTGGGTCAATTCTGCTGCAAACAAGGCTTGACTACCTGCAGTCAGCTACGTGTAGATGTGTGTTTCATATGTCCACGTAATGAAAATCTGCTACAGATTGCCACTGTAATGGGCAGTTTTTATCAGTTGAGTAAGCAGACTGTATTCACTGAAGGAGCTGTGCATATATGTCACTTCCAGTATGTTAGATGTGGAATCTCTGGGTGCAGTTGGTTACAAGGTGTTGAAAAATGTCCAAATCTCAGCAAGTGTACTTGTGAACTTCTTTCTCCATGCTTCTTCATGAAGATGCTTTTGTGAAAACTGATTTTATGCTTACTTTGAACTCAAGAGAACTCCTCTGAAGATTCATACATTTACTTCTTTTTATTAATGTCTCAGAAGGGTGAATTCTAATTGGCATTCACATAACACAGATCTTACCTTAGCCTCTCTCTCTCTCTCTCTCTCTCTTTCTTTCAGAATAGATTTAATTCAGATGAGTAAGTATAATCATGGAGGAGCACAGCTGTTCCTCAAAACTTGCAGCAAAGTTTCTTCTATTTTATTTTCTTCAGAGCACTGCGCTGATTGTGTCCTTGATTTCAGAATGCTGTCTGTGCTGGGTTTAGTCTTCAGAAGAGGAGGCTCAGGGGGGACCTTACTGCTCTATACAACTAACTACTGAAAGGAGGTTGTGGTGAGATGGGAGACAGCCTCATCTCCTGGGTAACTAGTGATAGGATTGGCCTCAAGTTGCTCCAGGGAAACTTCAGGCTGGATATTAGGAAAAACGATTCTGGAAGAGTGGTCAGGCATTGGAATGGGCTGCCAATGGAGATGTCACTGTCGCTGTCCCTGTAGGTGTTCAAGAAGTGCTTACATGTTGCACTAAGGGACATGGTTTAGTGGGGAAATATTGGTGGTGGGTGAATGTTTGGACAGATGATCTTAGAGGTCTTTTCCAACCTTAGTAGTTCTATAGTTCTGTAGTGATTTTATGATGTTTTCTGTGCTACTTAAGATACAATGTATTTTCCAAATTGTTTCTATTGCCTCGAGAATTAGTTGGCCAGAATAGAACTGTGGTGTATATATCAGATGGGCAGACTGCATAGGACTGCGTGCATGCACTGGTTTAATTTGCAATCAGTACTGCAGTAGTCCACTGTCGATTTTTCAAAGTAAGCAATGAATTGCTAATTGTGTGTATATTGAGAACTGAGAAAAAAGAATTGTCATCTAAGCTGTGGTGGACTTACTTTTTATTTCTACTTTTTTATATGCCTGCAAGGTTTGATTATGAAGCATTGGAACCCAGAACAGCGTATTTCATAATGAGAGACCTGGAAGCTTTGATCACTGACAAGTCATTCAGCCACCAGCAGTTTGCTGTGGGCAGCAGTATCTACAGTGTGGAAAGAACAGACAGCTTTGAGTACATAGATCCTGTGGATGGCACTGTGACCAAAAGACAGGTATGGCTGTGGTGGTAAAGCAGCAAAATTTCGCAGCTTTCAACATATCTCTTAAAACATTTCTGGCATTCAGCTGAAAGCCTTACCATTTATTTATAGACATTTTTTTTATATGCACTGATATATACCGCATTTCCTACTTAAGATTTTCTCAGACTGGATAAGATAATCCACCTCTGGTTCGGCTTGCACTTGCTGTGCATAAATGGAGACTGTAGTGTTATAGAGAAGGTAGGCAGAGATGCAAAGCAAAAGCAAAGCAGATACAGAGAGTCCCACTTCCTGAAAAATGCAAGGTGTCGTGTAGAAAGGCAGTGTTTCGCTTTTTCTATTTTCTGTCTGAAACTTACAATTGCTGTACATCGCATTAAAAAGGTCAAATTTTCTTGCTTTTGTTATTTGCATAATTAAGGCATGTTATTCCCTTGTTGCCAACAGCATGCAGAAGACTTAAGCAGATTGTTCCATATCGGGGCATGTTTGGCTTCTCTAGCCAAAATAACTGCTCTGTGTTCCTTTTGGGTAGACTATGTCAATATTAAGATCTTTTAGCTATCAAGTTCTGCAACTCAAATTGAGCCTTTATGTTCCATGACAAACACAAAAGCAGACATGTACTTTTGCCTGGTGTAGGTGTATATCAAAACATTTTGAATATGAGCTGTGACTCATATTTAAATGTATTCTGATTTTATGCTGCTTATTCTTGTTGTCTTTGTTTGTGAAGTTTGTAAACTGCTTGACCTGATCAGACTCTATCAAGTGGTATTATGAGCCATTAAAACAATTGTCACTCCATTCTGTGCAGTATCTTTGTAGTTTCCATTCATCACTGCATCCAGATGATATAAGCAGCCCACTTGGCACTGAATTACTGTCCTTGTACATATTGCTGCTGAAACAAGGTACAAGGATATTGTCATATCCAAATCCACTGGAAAATTACAGGCATGGCAGGCTTGTGACTCTTGTCCTTAAAAAAAAAAAAAAAAAAAAAAAAGTAAACTTTTAGTGTACTTTCCCTTTCTTTTCATCCAAAGCTGTTTCCTAAATTGGAGTACAACTGCTGATCACGTCACCATGTAATACAGAGAAGCACGACTTACCCTGTTTTTAAATGGACTTTGAAATGGAGAGCATGTCTTTTCATAGGCAAAAGCACTCATTTGGTGAGAATACAATTCAATCTGTTTGTTTTCTGACAAGCTTACATTCTTGGCACTGTGTGTTTGCAGCCTTGGTGGAATTCGCCAAGCATAATAAAATAAGAAATGACATTAATCCATGGAAATAAGCAACAGTTCACTGCTGCCATTTTCCTCATGTATTATGCTCTTTGTGCAAATGCAGGTGCCTCTTTGTGACTGTCATGAGTTTCGTGTAGATTTTCCAGCTAGGTTTTCCGGAACGTTTTATTCCTCAGTGGAAAGTGGATAGAAATTTGTACTCAATGTATCTGAACTGCTTCTACTGAACTACAGCTAAATCAATGTTAATAAACTGCAGAAAACAAACACAATAACAAAACAGATATATAGCAGTACAAGCAGGCTGTACTCTAATTTATTCTGAAACAAACACATAAATATTGTTTATCATCAGTAGTAAGATATAAAGTCCAGTAATAAGATATAAAGTTAAATGAAACATGTTGCTGTCCTGAAAACTGATAGCCCATAACATACTGAACAAGTTACCAACTAAAATGTTGGACTCTTTCATAAAGATTTGTCATATTCAGAGATTTGCAGAATAAAACTCCCAGTGGTTGTCATTTAAACTTTCTTAATGTTGTCTTGCTCCTTTGTTAGATTTTGGCTGTAAAATTCTCCGTGTGTAATCTCATGTTTTTTGGGGGGCTGTTCTGAAAGTTATTTCATATGACCCTCCAGAGATAAGGAAAAAAACTATTCTCTGTTCAGAATGATATTTTAGTCCCATGTCAACAATAGCATATTTCTTGTCAGAGTAGCCAGAATGGCCTCCTATGCCCCGGTGGTGTTCAAGGGTCCACAGCTGAGCAAATAAAAACTATGATAACCACAGTGTTTTGAAGAAAGATAGCTATTCTGCATGCTTCTAATTTATGTATGCGTCTGTTAGATATACTGCTACTAAACCAGATTTTCTGCTGGTGTTACACTCTACCATTCAATAACAGTTTTCAAAATCTTAAGTAATTTTTTTTTTTAATTTGCTACTTAGTCTTGTTCATCCTAATTTACTATGCTAATTCTCACTTGTTTAATCATGAAATTGCTAACTGAAAAAAATAGTGAAACCTCTGGAAGTGAAATTACACAATGAGTATTACAATGAGTATTAAGTTTTGTCTTCTGAACACTTCAGAGATCTTAAGTGTATCAGTAAACTGCTTCACTGAATTATAGTGAAAAGTAGAGAAGTCCTTGTGAAGCTCTCCCTTTGTCACACTGGCTTCAAAGCCAGCAGGTTAACCAGTGAGAAGGTCATTTTGTTTCAAAATTTCCACACGACTAATTAATGTCCATGAGCAGGCCTGATTTGCCTAACGTAAGTATCTGCGGATGTCCATTGTCAGAGCTGTACTGAAGGTTTTCATTTGCTTCCTTTTGGAAAAAAGATTTACCAGTTTCCATAATAAAACATGTTTGTGACAAAGAGTGCGCCCCATTTTATTAAAACTGGAACTTCTTCTGCACTGTGGAGTTTCCAGCTTGTTGTTCTTCACTGTGTTTTCCTTAAGTCAGTTTATTAATTCTGCTTATAAAATTCTGTTCTGTGCACTTTCATGGAGCTGACATTTTTTATATAATAAATAACAAGTACATGGCTTTAAATTAATTGAGCTTATCTCAGGTGAAAAAACACCAGCATGTCTAACAGTAAGTAGGCTGCTTTCCGTTTCACCAACTTGCTTTGACAACAGTGATCACAAAAGCTAAAAAATGCTAAAAAGGAATATTTAGTATGTTAAACTGTGTAGTAGCGAGCAGGGATAAACTTTTTGACTTCGTCTTCACCTAAGTGCAGACCTGTAGGTTATTTGACAGGTAATGTTTCTTCATAGTTATTTGGGAACAGTGTTTTTGGTTGTTTTTCCTCTGGTTTTAACAAGTGTAACCTACAGCTTTGTGGTATAAGTTTCAGAAAATGTTAAGAAATGTAAGTACATAATAGTTCTCATTAAATTCTGTTGCCTTCCAGAGTAAAAAAGTGTTGCCAGTTTTGAAATGGCTGTTTTCAGTGGAGAGTCAAAAGACAGGTTTTTGCTGTTGAGCTCTGTGCCAAAAATGGCTTATGCTCTAGCTCCAGGTGCAGGAGTGACACAAAAGTTGACTTCGACAGTCCAACTGTGAAGGCCGCTGTTTCCTTAGCACATGATTTCTCCCTGGCACTCCAGAGGTAGTTGTTTTTAATGAGTACAGTCACTGCATCTCTATAATTCCCTTTTGAAAAATATCTTTGTACGGCAGAAATTCTTGTCTTGTAGACTATTATCAGCTGACATCTCTATTTTGTAAAAACCAATACTGTCAGTCATTTATTCCTGAGAAATGTGAAAATAAGCTCAGAAATAGTAAACTGAATGCAGGTTGTGTGTGTGTATGCTATATAAAAATCTCAAGTGCTATAAACTGTAGCATCCAAGTGGCTACAGATTCTTTGGCTTGGTGGAAAAAATTAGCATCATGAAGGACAGAGTTATGGGAAGTGTTCATAAACCTTTTTTTGTTCCAGAGACCATGGTTTAATCAGTGGCAAGATTCTACTGAGGTTCTGAGAGAAGCAACAATGTACAGTTGTTATTCTTCCCAGATACACAGAATATGTAGAGGAATGTTCAAGTTTTATCATTGTGGAGTTAGCTTGACCTAGCAGGGACATGCAAAATGTCCATGTAGCCGTTAGGTAGGAGGACATTCACATGCTCTTTGTGTTTGTGATTTAATTTTGTGCAAGCATGTTAAGCTTCCTTCCTTCTCACTTTGAGCTGCTTGACATGAATGTTACATATTTTGAGCTTCTGGTTGTAGGTTTGACAACTATTCAAAATGAACTACACCTACAGCTATCTTTTTTTCATTTTGCTGTTGTAAAGTTGGAAGTAATTAGCAATCAGCAAGAGACAACTCCTTGTTCAGAGGATGAGATCATAACAAACTGACTATATATTTTTTGCTGTCCAAGCTAAAATTCCATTGATGGCAGAACTTCCACTAACATCATGCGAACCAACCCATTAATAAGTTGGCTTAATAGCAAACATTAGAAAAAAAGGCTCTGAAGCTTATCCTGCTGAATATAAAATATTTCTGATTACAACACATGCTTTTCATGTTGAAAATACTAGATGAATTTATGTTACCATTGTGTATGTGTTAAAACTAATGTGCAGGAAAATAATGCCTCCTATTTATTTCCATGGAAGCTGCAACAAATACAAAGTGCATAATAACACTATTTGATAGAGCAAATTCTCAGTTATAAAACACCATTTTTAAACACAGTCACCACCATTAGCTAAGCATTTCTGCCAGTGATGAGCAGGATGTGCTTGTAAAAATCTGCATGGCCATTTAAATGTGGCCTGTGTTTCATGTCACAGTCACCACTGCTGAAATGCACCACCCGCTGCCTTTCTCTGCTCACATCCGCTGTTTGGTCTCCATAAGTATTTGGCAAGCATTGCTGAATGTCAGTAGATGCCATTTTTTCCTCATGCAGGAATTCTCTGAGACACATTTGTGTCACACACACTTCCATGTCCAACCAAAGCAATAGATGGATAATATCTCTTAGGCCATCTGACTCAGCCTTTTACCCATATGCTATGCTTTCGTGTCACATATTTCTTCGTGTTGATGGACAGTATCATCCAGACACTGTTGAAAATACTCTGACATACACCTGACCAAACAAAGGCTTTTTGCACTTCTATTTTATTATGGGGGAGCACCGTGTTCCTAAGTAGCAGTGTCTTCCCAGGCTGCTGATAAAGATAAAAGAATGAAATACTTCTCTCTTTAGTTCTCCCGTTTTTAAATGCCTTACTGCAACTTCAACAAAATTAGCAATGATCTCAGTTTATGCACTCATTTGCCAATAGCAGAACTAAAATGGAAAAGAGAAGTTCATTGGCAGAACAGAGGTAGCGTTTAACCTAGAGGTACCGTTTACAGAAAAGAAACAAGAACATATATTAGTGCAAAACTGGTAGATAATGAAAACAGTGCAACTGTTTAACTGTTCAGTTTAGTGCTTTGTTTTAATGGGAACAAATTTACCTGTCTGCCCTTCTTGCTTACCTTATGTCATCCCTGTACAGAGAGACTGTTGACTAAGGATCCAGTACATGGCCTGTGGAAGAATGTGTTCATATATACAGTATGAAAGCAGGAAGGGTAATAAAGAGAGATGGAAGCTGAAGTAAATTCCTACTTAATTAATAATAAGTCTTTTTAAAACTTCACACAGTGAAGAATGTCAACTTAAATGACATACTTGAAATTAACAACACTTGTTGGGTTTCTAGACTGTATTACAGACTTTTGTTGAAATCCTTGTAATCAAGTCTTGATGCATGGTCTGTGAGGGAACTGATGCTGACTTTTGTATTCGGTACTGACTGCCTTTTGCTCCTGTAGCTGTTTCCCATACTTTGTTGATATATAAATATTTCACTGACTAGTGATTTTTTGCTCTACCACACAGAACAAAAACAAATCAGTGAAAGAAACTAAAAAAACAGCAGTAAAAAAGCCCTTGGTTGGAGGAGTGGGAGTGAAACCACTTATTTTTGTTTCTGGTCTTGAGATGGAAAAAAGTAATAAATGAGTTGTCCAGAGTTAAAGTGAGATTGTATCCTTATTCCTTTCTTGTTTTATTTTAGAGCAGTGAAAACTGTGATGTATTAGAGGTATTGCCACCTCAGTGTATGATACTCCTTCTTCTCCCATAGGGGCTGCGGATTGTTTTTTCAGATGCTTCCAGGCTCATCTTTAGAATGAGCGCTTCTAGCCATGTGAGAGCTACTCTCCGGATCTATGCAGAGAGTTATGAGAAGGATCCTAGCCAACACAATAAGGAACCACAGGTAATGTAATAACATTGTAAGAAAACCTGCAAGAATAGACTGTTTACAATTGTATTAAAATCAGGCTCCAGTGGATGCCTTTAGAAGCCTGAACAGCACATGTGTTGTTTTTGCTTTTTTTTTAACCAAGTGTGAAAGGTAGAATGTTCAGAATATTATACCAAAACTGCTAAGTGGTTAGGAAGCATTAGCAGGCCTACTATGTTTGGTTTGGGAAAGCTGCTTCTTGATCTCGGGAGAGAAATATCAGGAATACAATGAGAAATTGAAGAGTTTCCAATAGTTGTATTGATGCATATTCAAACAGTCAGTGGATATTTTGGAAATCTGTATCATCAGTTCAGTGAAAATCATCAATTCAATGAGGAGCACTGAAGCAGAACGTTGAAGGATCAAGAGAAAAGAAATAGGTTCATACATTCATTCATTCAGTCAGTCTGGGCAACTGAAGAAAACCACCACATCCTGAGAAAGCCAATTTTTTGTTTAAATTACAGATATTCGTGGTTAAGTCAAATGCCAGAAACACAATATCATCTGTAGTATCAGGTGTTGCCTTAAATTTGGAGGATATATTGGCTTTATTCATTGGCCTCAACCCTGCCTTGTCACTGTGGACCTGCTTGCCACTTATTGGACCCAAACTGTGCAGCAACTCCTCTGTTTGACCTTGGACCTGCCCCATTGCCATGAGCTTGCCTGTTGATCTCGGCTGTTCATTGAATCTGCAATTTCTGGGTCTTTTATGCTTCTGTGGGACTGTTGACTTTTTGAGGTAGGACTAGCAGTTTTAGTACATATTTGTGTAAGGCCTGAGATGCCTGAATGCTGGGAAAAATATATATATTTTTTTCCACTCAGGTTTTTAAAGAACAATATTTTAAAAATTAATAAATTTGGGGGCAGATTTTCTAGGGATCATTTAGTGAAGGCTTCTCAGGGTTGCCTTGCAGTGCAAGCTCAATTAGGAATTAGGGATGCCTGAGTCTGAACAGTGTAGGGATTCCTTGTAAGGGAAAGACTCGCAGCTATCTGAGAATTATCTCCCATCATAACCAGACTCCTTCCTAGGAAAATAAAAGTTTGAGAGCAGATTTCAGTGAAATCCAGCAGAGACCTAAAACAATTTATAATACAAATTGTGGTTCCACCTCTCAGATTAGTTCCACTGAAACACTGTCATGTTGTGAAATAAACAAAAGAGGACTAAGTATTTCTCCTGGAAGAGTGGATAAGCATTTAGTTTGCAAGACTTTAAAACTGTTTTTGAAGTCTCATGTATTTATGAATGCAGTACAGATGCAAAGTTTCTCCGAACATGAAATCTTTTTGAACCATGCATTGGGTTTTTTTGGCTAGATTTCTACCACAGATTTAATGAGTTTCTTCTATGTTACTCAACAATTGTCTAGCAGATATTCCAGAAATTTTGCTACCTGATTTCCTGCAGATATAATATATTGATTTTCTTCACTCTTTCTTGAAGTATCATAGAATCACTAAGGTTGGAAAGACCTCTAAGGTCATCTAGTCCAACCATCCAGCTATCACCAGTATTTCCCCATTAAGCCACATCCCTCAGTATAACATTCTAAATGTTTCTTGAACACCTCCAGGGGCAGTAACTCCACCACCTCCCTGGGCAGTCTATTTGAGTGCTTGACCACTCTTTTAGAGAAGCTATTTTTCCCAATATTCAACCTGAACCTCCCCTGGAACTACTTGAGGTCATTCCCTCTACTCTTATTGCTAGTTGCATGAGAGAAGAGACTGACCCCCACCTCACCACAGCCTCCTTTCAGGTAGCTGTGGAGAGCAGTAAGGTCTCCTCTGAGCCTCCTCTTCTCTAAACTGAACTATCCCAGTTCCCTCATAAGGCTTGTGCTCCAGATCCCTCACCAGCATTCAGGTGGGAACAGTGAGAGACCTACTACTCCACCCGGACTGTCACAAGTCCATGGAGCCAGGTGGGTATCCCATGTTTATGGTATACTTTCTGTATCATAAAACAGAAGAAAATTATTTGATGCTAAGACACTCAACGCTTAGTTTCTTCTGCATACCGGACCACCTTTTTAAGTACCTTCTTTTGATTGTTTACATATACAGCTGGAAGTTGAGTGCTTTTGCATTGCCCCATTTCTGCCTGATGACAATACCATTTCATTCTGCTTCTGCGGATAAGCATAACTATTCAGTTTTTGTTTTAGTACAACAAACAAGCAAATTAATGAAAATCTTCAAAAATATATAGAGGAATGAAGAAAATGTTAAAATGAAAGAACAGGGATAGAAATCAAGCTTTGTTCCATCAGTCATTTTCAGGTTTGTGTTAATGTTCTGGGCTGTATCCATAGTCACTGTATTTAGAACCACCTGTATCTGTTGAATGGCAGTGGAGTTAGGAGGTTTTTCAAACTGAAACCTCTGTGATTTTTTTGTATTTTGCCCTCATGTGATTCTAATGTTTCAGTCTCAAGTTTCTTTTGGTTTTCTGATCTTACCACCAGACAATTATCTGTCAAGCTCAAGCACAAGTCTTTTCTTCTTGTTTTTGTAAATTGATCTTACAGATGTCCTTCAGATTTAGAGTGGCTGTCCACAGAGTGTGGCTGAAACTATTCCCATAAGGAGCATAAGTTGTTCTCTGAATAGGGATGAAATCATCTATGTTCAGTAGAGCTGCACCATCCTGATTGAGTTTGTTTTTCTTCATAAATTTTATAACTTAAAAAATCAAATATTGGGAGTTTGGGAAAACTTCCAAAGAGAAAGAAACCTCTTCTGTTAGCTTTTTGTCAATTCTTATTAGGAAGTGGGATATGAATTCTGCCATAAAATCAACAAAGTATTTGCTTAATTTTTATAACAACTTGGTATTGTTACTTCTTTAGCCAAGTATAACAATCGTGTATGTGAAATGTCAGAAGGCTGTTCTTAAAAAACTTTTAAGAACGTATATTCTTTTCTCTGTGTTTCTTCTCCTAGTAAAGGCAAGGACTCTAGCTAACTACCAAGCATTTTATGTGAATTGCTGGAATTTGCACTTGGAATTGGAACAGACTATGGTTATTCTACTCTGTGTATAGAATCAGTAGCAATAAACAGAAGTGCTTGTCATGTAACAGCATTTCCTTGTAGTTACATACACATTATATATAACTAGTCAGTCTTAGCATTGTTTGCCTTTGTTTTTCCTTCACTGTGGCTGTTCATCATTTGCAGTATCTATCATCCAAATGCACAGTGAAACAGTGATTGTTGCTTAAGAAACTCGAGTAGATTATAAGCAATACTTGTCCAGAAAACAATCTAAACAAAGGCATGCAACTATTCTCTGTATCATCAGGGATCAACTACTTGGAGAGCTCTAGTTGTAGGACCTATTTTGATTTGATAGCCAGCAGAAAACCTAATGCACTTCTAAGTACTATGGGGGTTCCTCAGACTTGTGCCCTTAATTTTGTCACTATGAAACCATTGAAATGAATGGTGCTTGAGTGAGCTCTCTTCATACCTTATTGTACATCAGTTCTATGTATATCTGCATGGATCATAGAGGAAAAGGTGATTTTCAGGTCTTAATTGTTTATTTTCCATCCTAAGTCTTTCTGTAAAAGAAGTCTTATAAGTAGAGAGAGAAAAGACTCTTCAGGAACTTTTCTTCCAATTTGTATGTTGGCCAAACAGTAGCTATTAATGAATAGAAGGGTCTCTCAAATCTTAATTACTATCTTATTTTAGTAGCATCTTAATATAATTAATTGGCTAATACTTTCCAGATAGAACAAATAAATTATAGCTAGCTGGCCAATTGGTCAACAACATTAAAATTCAAGAGAAAGTAGTAAAATATGCTAATAACTAGAAGTCCAAGGCCACTGATAAATGTGAATAGCAGTGACTACTAACCACTCTATAGTCAGTTGAAATAAATGGGCAGAAGCAACTTCGTGATAACTTGGGAGCTTAAGGATATTTACTGTCTTTCCATGACTAATTCAGTTCTTGCTAATGAGGAGCGATTAATGATAAATGACTGTCATGTCCTATGCCAAGGACGTTATTGCTGTGAGCAGTTTTAAATCACAGTGTATGGTGGCGTTGCTGTCTGCTTCTATGCGGGCTTAAAGTATTTGAAACGATGCCCAGCTCTTTTCTACAACTGGAACATTCCTCTTAAAAAGGGAGTAGCAAATTTGCTGCTTCTTATTGCTGGTGATGCACCTCATTGCTGTGTATTACTGAGAAAGTTGCTTTCCAGATAGCTTGGAAGACATTCTTAAAAAATGACGTATTTGGCTTCTAACATCCAAGCAGGCATCTGGTGAGCAACTTCAGGAAGTTATTGCTTTATAACAAACAACAAACTTCTGTGTAAAGTTTTAGACTTTGTGCTTAGAAATTGATCTTTGTATATATTTAATAGAATTGTTTGGCTGTGCTAAATCAAAACACAGATTGAAAATCTAGAGATGATAGGTGGAATAGGCCCAAAGTAGTAAAATAAGATTTTTTTGACCTTTCAATTCTTTTATAGCTTCGTTTTATAGATCAACTTATTCCCTGTTTATGGATTGCAGCAGATGGTTCCTATCTGCCTGTCCCTTGTCGAGCCACCTGGACACATTATTGAACTTGCATAAGATTCAAGCATGAAGATTCATGTACAAAGATCAAAAATGAAATGATTCATTATGCAGAGTTGTTTTTAATTGTCTCATTTATAAAAATGGTGTTCCCTTCAATCACATGGTTTTACTGCTGTTGCAGGCTAAATACGCTGGGAGTGGTGTAGTGCATAATCCGAATTACTCTGCGTATGAACTAATAAGCTCTGTTTACAATATTTTATTATTCATTATCTGAATTGCACTAGAGATAAATAGGTGTTGTAGACCCTTCAATCTGTATGATACAGTGAATCACAAATGAAGCAATGGCTTTTGCTGAAGATTGATAGGTGTTTGTTAACTAAAGAATCACTATAGTAGCGGCATCTACACAAGAGTTATTTCATTGTGCTTTTGTCCAAAAAATCAAACCAATTAAAAAATGTAATTGGAATCAAAAATGTCTTCATCATCCAAAACTGAATTTCTGAAAGAAAATTTGAATGTCAATAGAGAAAATTTTTTTGGGGTGGACCATGGAATGTATATAAAAGGATTAAGATGATATATAATTATACATATGTAAAGATTGTATGAAGGGATTGTTTCTCTCTTGCAAGTATGACTTTGTGCAAGAGCAGGGAACTGGAATCAATAACGTGTGAATCCTTTTCTCCAGTATCATTTAATAGAGATAAAATTAAAAGTTTCTATATGGTTCCGTCAAAATACTGTTAACAACCTCTAACCATGAGTGCAGTTTATTAGAGTTACGGTTTCTCTGTTATTTTTTGAAACACTGGATCTTTTAACATGGCTCTTGCTGGATGTTGATATGTGATTTGAAGAGTTTATATTAAATCTTACCTTTACTACTTTAATTCATACGTTCTTCTTTGAAGGCTTGTGGAATAAGGATATTTATATCTATTTGATTGCACTATGGTATAATACATTATATGCATGCTACTCAGGTAATTTGGCTTCCAGATCAGCCAAAAGCCTTCCAGTGAACAGATTTCAAATCAGTTGGAACTAGAAGGAGTAGATTTTTTTTTTTGTTATGTTGGAAAAATATATCGTGGCAGTAATTATGAAATATTTTATGAGTCAAGAAAATGAGTTAGCTAAACGTAAGTTTCAGTCTGGACTATTCTAAATACTAGGAAAGAATTAATCTTTTGACAAGAGATATTTCCTAACACCACCTAATTTTCATTTTCCTCTTGTATTTTTCACCCCTTGCACAGGTTGTCTTCCACTGCTGGGGCAGAACAGCTGTCCTCCTGACTCTTACTATCATTTTATTTGAGTTTGCAAAGAGCAGTTAGTAGTTAGACACAGATAGCAAGGTGGCAGAGATATCAATTCCCTTTTCACCTCAGCAAACGTGTTGCATCATTATAATGAATCATTATTATAACATGGCCAGTTCTGTAAATGTTACAGACCCAGGTTGTTCCACTATTAACCAGGTTATCCACAGGGCTTAAGATTTTCTAGGACCAGTGACTGCAGCATAAACTTTTCCAGAGACTCCTGCTTTTTTGGAATGCAGGACCTGACAATGATATGTCCACTGGGCAGGCACATTGAGCTGAGCTGTGTGTTTAGCTCTTTATATATATATCAGCCCTGCAGAAGATCTGGTGTGGTGATGTCTGCTTGTTAATTCAGGCAAAGTCATGCCTGAATCTTCAAGGCTTACCGTTATTAATAAAACAGTAATAACACCACCTAGCAAGTACAGCTTTTGGTGACTTCAATCTACAAGCACGTTTTTCTCAAAGCTACCTCAAGGATCTGGAAAACTACTTTAATTGACACTAAATATGAAGGACCAGCAGCTGAAGAGGTAGAATTTTGGATGTGACTGCAGCTTTTAGAAAGGGAAAATGCAAAGATGGAGAACACTTGGCATATCTCCTGTCATGGCAGAGTTCCAAATATTGAACTGCAGTCCTTCTTTGACAACTTCATGCTGTGCTGAGTTGTTTATCTTTCTTTAATGTGAACAATTGTTCTAGGAAAGTGAATTGTGCTGAAATATGTACTATGCCAGCTCTGCTTAGAAATCAGTAGCATTATAATTTCAGAATATTTGTTCTGAAATAGTTATTGTCCAAGGAGTGATCTTTGTGTCAGCAATTCAGGTGCCTGCATGCCCATATACCGTAAGTCACATAAAGGCTTAGCTGATGGATGGTGCCCCAGCAGTACATTCTTTCAGTGACTAATTCAGATGGCTTTCTGTTGCCCCTCTCTGTGGTCCCAGAACACAGGGAGCAATTGGGTTAGTGCTTAGTGTTTTACAAGTAATGATATGTACATGAATAACTGACCCCGTGTTTTGAGTGTTATACCTTGTTCATTCACTTGGGTACATTTACAGCTGAGAGAGACCAAAATTATGCTGGTGAACTTGTTGCTGTATGCAAAATGCAGACAAATACAGTAAGAAAAGACAGAGCAAAAACGTGAGAACTTTGAGAGAATAGTAGTTACTTGTGATCACTAGAATGGTTTGTGTCCTGTTGATGTTGCTGCTATTCTCTGAGTGTTTTCGGATTTGTCTGTCCTAGATAAGTTCTGAGAATTTCTTTCCACTGATAAAACTGATGGGGCAGCTTGTTTTTGAGTGGACTGAGGAATGTTAGCTTAACACCTATGGAAAATGAGTGTTTCCAAATTATGTAAAACTTACCCACATTTCATTTGGCATATTCAGCTCTTCGTCTCTTCATCCTTGTTCTGCTCTGCTTTTGCCATTTTAAAAATAATGCTGTTTTTTAACATCTGCAAGATGAAGAAAGTGTAGTTGAGGCAAATGAGAGGAAAGAACTAATATGAGTTTTTATCTGTTAACTAGTATGATTGTAAGCAGCAGAATATTTTAATGGTAATTGGAACCATTTGGCTGAAGAGCAGCAGCTAAGATATTTTTGTAAATGGGTGTCACATGATTGGATTTTGTTTTTTGTTGAAAGCACTGAGTAGTGCTTTGTTTGTTTCGGTGTTTTTTTTTCCCCATTGTCCATTTGTTTAAGAAACGAATCACAGAATCACAGAATGGCCTGGGTTGGAAGGGACCTCACGGATCATGAATCTCCAGCGCCCCTGCCACATGCAGGGCCACCAAGCTCTCCATTTAATATTAGATCAGGCTGCCCAGGACCCCATCCCTGGGGAACACGGCTCATTACTGGCCTCCACCTGGACATGGAGCCATTAATCACTACCCTCTGTCTGTGGCCTTTCAACCAGTTTCTTATCCATCAAGTGTCCACCAATCAAATCCACATCCCTTCAATTTGGATATAAGGATGTGATGGGGAACCATGTCAAAGGCTTTGCTCAATGTAAATGACATCAGTCACCTTCCCTTTGTCCACCGATGCCACCACTCCATCATAGAAGGCCACCAGACTGGTTAAGCATGACCTTCCCCTGGTGAAGCCGTGCTGGCTGTGTTGGATCACACGCTCATTCCTCATGTGATCAAGCATGTTGTCCAGGAGGATCTGTTCCATGATCTTCCCAGGCACAGAGGTGAGACTCACCAGACTGTAGTTCCTTAGGCCCTCCTTGCTCCCTTTCTTGTAAATGGGAGTGACGTGACCCTTCCTCCAGTCATCCAGGACCTCACCTGACAGCCACAACTTTCCAAATATGATGGAGAGTGGCTCGGCAACCACCTCAGCCAGCTCCTTCAGAACCCTGGGATGCACGCCATCCGGCCCCATAGATCTGTACACATGCTGTCTCATGAGGCAATCTCGGACTTGCTCTGCCTTTACAGTGAGGGCAGTTTTACCACCCCAGTCCTCACCAAGAGCTTTAGGGATGCAGGGCTCAGGGACATGAGAAATGCTAGAATCCTGGCTGCCACTGAAGACTGAGGCAAAGAACTCATTCAGTACCTCAGCCTTCTCTTCATCTGTTGAAGCCAGTTCTCCTTTTACATTTACCAGAGGAGGTACATAATTTTGGCCTGTCTCTTCTGGCCAGTGTACCCGTAGAATGTCTTCCTATTATTTTTCACGTCCCTCGCCAAGTTCAGTCCACTTGCACCTTGGCTTTCCTGGTCCCACGTCTGCGAATCCAGACAGCATCCCTGTATTCTTCCCAGGTGACACGCTCTTGTTTCCAGAGCTTGTACGCACCTTTCTTTGCCCTCAGTATGCCCAGCAGGTCCTTGCCGAGCCTTGCTGGTTCCCTACCTCCTCTGCCCGCTTTCTTATTCAGAGGGACAGAGGGCTTTTGTGCTCTCAGAAGGGCATCCTTGAAGAGTAGCCATCTCTCCTCAACATCTTTAAGGACAGCATGCCAGGGATCTTGGCCAACAGTCCACTGAACAGCTTAAAGTTCGCTCTTTCAAAGCCCAGGGTCCTGATGCCACTCTTCGCCAGGCCCACACTCCTTGAGATCATGAACTTGACCAGGGCATGGCCACTGCAGCCCAAGCTGCCTCCAAACTTAACGGCTTTAATGATCTCCTCCACATTGGTGAGCAGGAGGTACAGCAGCTCTTCACCTCTGGTCAGTCTTTCCAATACCTGGACCTGAAAGTTATCATCAAGGGATTCCAGGAGCCTCCTGGACCTCTTGCATCTTGCTGTGTGGTCTTTCCAACAGAGTAAAGCTAGATCAGTAAGGATTTTTTTTAAAAAATTTTCCTGTAGTTTTTAGAATAGGCAGGTCAGAGTGTTCTCAAGGAAGTGACAGAGGAAGTTGAGATGTTTTATTCTTGTTTCACTTCTCCTTACTCCACGGCGTGGGATGGCAGGAATGATAAGACCTTGTAAATTGGCACATTTTACTTCTTACTTCAGCAACATTTTCTCATGACATGAATCTGTACTCCATATATTAATTTCCTCTATGCACATTTTATTTCATTGGGCTTGTATTCGATTTCAGTCATAATTCAGTTCACTGGTATCTGCAAATCTGGAGTTTTTTGAACAGTGATGCACATAACTTAGTTTAATCACCAACCCATTTGTTGCCAATGAAATGCAAAATGTTGCTTCATGACTTTGCTTGCAAAGTTGTTTTGTCTCCTCACAATTTCATATAACAGTCTGACCGTTTGTGCAGGTAAAGCAAATACTACTACTGTCAGAAACTGCTGTGTGGCTGAAATGGATTTAAAGAACTGGTTACATTAAGCTTCTGAAAAGAAATCTGTAAAGTTAAGCTGTTTAGAGTCACTGTTTTATTTGCTTTTCAAACTTGACAGATTTAAGGCTGGAATATAGTTTGAGACAAAAGAATAACTTTTGAGCATCAGAAAATTAGAATATTACTTTTGCAATGAAATATATAGTTTTCTGAAAATCAAGTTTTTTGCACAAAACTCATCTTCTGTCAGGTCATCTTTCCATCTAATAACATGGGGGAAGATTATTAGTTGAAAAATCATCTTTTACTTTGTTTTCGTATGGTTCTATCTTAGCAGTTATCTGCACTCACCAATCTCAACAGTTTCATATGTAGAGCCACTTCGTACAGTCAGCAGCCCTGAATTTCAGAATTGTTGCTTGTTTTCTTGCTTTTATCCTAGTTAGTACATCACTCATCAGAATAGAAATAATTATACCGAGGTGATCTCTAAACTGTTTCATACAGAAGATTTTACAAGAGCTGCTCTATTCCTGTTACACGGAGACATTATTACTGTGGTGTATTTACTGGTTTCTCTTTGAAGCATAGCGTAGGTATAATGAATGTGAAACTTCACAAAACTTGCTTGGCACGACACTGCTATCAAGTACACGACATGGCAGAAGTGCATCAACTCTTCAATGATTATTTCATGATTTGCTACTATTACACAGAATCAGAAAATCACTACTATGGTAGAAGAGGAATTTAAATAACGTGTCTCTTGATATTTCTGCTGTATGTAATTCATTTCATTTCTTCCTCTTCAGGCTGTGCTGAGTCCTCTTATAGCGATCGCACTGAAAATATCTCAGATCCATGAGAGGACGGGGAGAAAGGGACCCACTGTCATCACCTGAAGCTGTGGAGGATTGTTAAAACAGAGGCAAAAGAGAAACAGCAAGGAAGAGACAGGACTTTGCTGAAACATGTTAGCTGTTGGTGCCTTATGTGGTTTAAAAACTTTTCTTGGGGATAGAGGGAGGTGGAATGAAAAATTCAATGTCATGTCAAGCATATTCAGTTACATTGATCTCCAAAGACAGTAGTGTATTGACTTCTTTGTTTTACCTGTAATATCTTTATTTCAGATAACAATATAATCACAGAAAAAGTCCTTAACTCCTAAATGTTGCCAGCGATGTGACAGAAAAGGCAAACTGCTTATTTTTGAATACTATGATAATAGTTGAGAAATTTCGGTTATGGAGAGAGGGGAAGAAGCTGCAAAGCAAAGACATGTTTGGGATCCTTGTATCCTTATTGTTGGTTTACAGAGACATATGCAGAACATGTCTGGGGCCTAAGGGCTCTGTGCTAAGCTTTGTGAAGCGTGCATTTTCTCATCTGACATCACTTCCCCAATCTCTCATGTTGCTCACAAATACATGCTGGCAGCAGTGTTGTATACACACTTGCACATGCTCTCAAAGAAAGTGTCATCCCATATTTTTTTAACCCTGCTTTTAAAGCATATCAGTCCTGCTTGTGCCTTTGCGTTTTCTTGATTTTTGACTTTTGAGGCAGTTGTGCTGTAGAAGCTGATTGTGTCCTTGCAGCAGTATGTTGGGTATAGAATCTTGGCTATCTTTTGTGATATTCCTTATGCCAGAAGATGAAGCTGGTGCTTCTTATGTTTGAAAGACAATTGCTTCAAGTTCAGCAATTTTACAGAAAGAAGTTATGATGGAAATTCTTAAAGTCTTTGCAATAGTCATGTTCCACTTAGCACAAAATGGCTAGTGAGGTGTGTAGTGAAGAGGAAATGTAAACAAACACAAATAACTTGTATCGTTCAGCAGCTGGACTCAGCTTTTGTTAGTTCTTTTCTTACAGTGGATCATGAAGTAAAAAGTTAGGGAGTGCCAAGAGTGAAGAGGTGACCTGTTATGAATCTGAGAAGGACATCTGGGGATATAGACATCAGCATTTTTCTGCTTGTGAAATGATACTGCAGTTCTAGCTACACGCAAAGACTTTATGCATGTGACTTGTTTGAAAGCTTTGCTTCCTTGGGAACAGTGTGGTCACTTGTATGATTTCTTAAGGTGGCTTTGTTCCACCTGTCTTTCCGCAGTGTGTTTCATTTCATTGTGGCTGTCAAATCTAATGCAATTTATATAACATTGCAGCAAAAGAAACTGGTTTTGATTTCTTTCAACACTTCTGTCAAACAAATTCTATGACACTAAGTACACAGTAAAGAGAAATGCTATATTTCTGTCTTGTTGGCAAGACACACTGCACTTTCAAGCTTCCTAATAAAACTGCTTTTCATACAGTTACACTGTCTTCATGATTGACTCTAAACAGATGAGCACTCAGAGATGGGATCCCTCTGCCTCTATTGTTGGTTCACAGTTTTATCAGGTCTGGAAATTGTAATGGTTGTTCAGCTGCAATTGTGCTAGCATTTATTTGGACAGTAATTTTCTCTCTCAGAACATGATATTTTTGAGTATCCGTCACTAATTAGCAAACAAGTTTGCGAAATGGAAAGAGAGAGATAAAGGAAATAAAGGGAGCACAGTCTAAGAAGGATAGATGCACTTATGTATTATATTAAAGAAAACTGCCCATAATCTCATGTGCCTATTGACATATGAACTGTGGTGATGATTTTATAGTCGAAGTATAGTCTGTATTAGGCGCTGTAAGGCCCATTTTGGAGCAGTATGGAATGATGACTGACAACTCACTTAAGCAGTTTACAAAAGCACAGTAATTGAGACTGAATTATTGAAAACAATGAGAGCATAATGCCCATGTGATTAGAAACAGCAGATTGTTTTGAGTAGTCTCAAGGAGGGAGCGTGGTTTTTATATGCAAACTACTTACATCTGCTCTCCAGCATCATGTGGTTTGAGCTAACTCATAAAATAAGAGGAAATTGCCTCCTAGCACAGCCAAATGGTTACTACATTTTCCCTTTGGAGTGGTGTCCTTCTAAAAGAGAATTAGCGGCAGCACGAGAAGCTCGCTGTGTTCACAGACAGTTTGGATGGCAGCAGCGCTCACAAGAATTACAGGATCACATATCATTAGGGCTGAGAGGGACAGTCTAGCCCATCAGGACAATGGTCAAAGAATCATAAGATCATAGAATTGTTAAAGTTGGAAGGGACCATTAAAAGTTACCTAGACCAACTCCCCTGCAATGAACAGGGACATCCACAGCTAGATCAGGTGCTTAGGGTCCCGTCCAGTCTGACCTTGAGTATTTCCAGGGATGGGGCATCCGCCACCTCTCTGGGTAACCTGTTCCAGTGCCTATCATCTGTATTGAAAAAATCTTTTTCCTTATATCCAATCTAAATCTTTTAGTTTGAAACTATTTTCCCTTGTCCTGTCACCACAGACCTTAATAGAGAGTCTGTCCCCTTCTTTCCTGCAGTCAGTCCCCTTTAGATAACTTGAAAGGCAGATCTCAGATCTCCCCAGAGCCTTCTCTTCTCCAGGCTGAACAGCCTCAGCTCTCTCAGCCTGTCCTCACAAGAGAGGTGTTCCACCCCTTGGATCATTTTTGTCACCCTTTTCTGGATGTTCTCTAGCAGGTCCATGCCTCTCCTGTCCTGAGGACTCTACATCTCAGCAGTGCAGAGTAGAGAGGCAGGATCACCTCCCTTGACTTGCTGGCCATGCCTCTTTTGATGCAGCCCAGGATGCAGTTGTCCTTCTGGGCTGCGAGGGCACAGTGCTGGCTGTTCAGTTTTGTTCTCCTTAGTTCAAGAAAGATTGAGGACAACTGGAAAGGTCAGCTGAGGTCTGTAGATGTGGTTAGGGACCTGGGTAATCTCCCTTGTAAGGAGAGGCTGAGGGTGTGGAGTGTTCAGCCTGGTGAAGGGAAGACTTAGAGGGGATCTTATCAATGCTTTTGAATATCTAGAGGGTGGATGCCAAGTGGATGGGGCCATGATCTTTTGAGCAGTGCCCAGTGACAGAACAAGGGGCAATGGACACAAGGAAGTTCTATCTGAAAACAAGAACGAACTTTACTTTGATAGTGACAGAGCATTGGAGCAGGGTGCCCACACAGGCTGTGGAGTCTCTCTGGAGATACTCAAAACCCTCTTGAATGCCGCCTTGTCCAACCTACTGTAGGGATGCCTTAGCATGGCGTTGCGCTAGGTGATCTCCAGAGGTCCCTTCCAATCTCTGCCCTTCCAGTCATGGATTCTGTGATTCTGTGACATATTTCTTGTTGTCTGAAATTATTTACTACAGTGGTCTGGATGCAAGTTTTCTTCTGTGATTTTGCAAAAGGAAGGAAGGAAGCATGTGACAAAGGATGAGTTCAAGCTTGTCCTCTTTCCAGTACTTTCAGTCCCATTTTTATTCCTCACAGCTCTTAAATAAGAGCAATTCAAAAAGCAGCTGCTTAAATAACAGCAAATCTAAAAGCTCTGCTTTTAGAGAGCTTGGAGAGGGGCCTGAGCAGGTTTTTCCACCATGCTAGTTCTCTCTGAGGAGTTGCACACCTAACCAGGATTGTTTAGCAGTTAGGAAGTGTAGCAACTCCTAAGGTTTTGTACTGTGTACTTTCCTTTAACTGCTGGCACCTTGTATCATACAAGTGAATGCATGGCATTGGTTTTAAATCAAAATTTATTCACAAATTCAGTAGTAAATTACCAAGTACTAGTGCTTCAGAACAAAACAAGTAGCTTACAATATATGCTACAAAAATACTCAGTTACTACAAATGTTACAAATTCCAGACAAAAGCTGGTGAATTAGTAGGTTTCCCAAGTCAGCGATTGTTATAAAACCACAAATGAGGACTTTCAGCCAAAACTCCTTGTGAGACACAAGACATTTAGGACTGGTAACAGCATGAAGCTCCTTAAAATCATAGAATGTTTTGAGTTATAAGGGACTTAATGGATTATCAAGTTCCAAGCCTCCTGCTACAGTCAGGGTTGCCAGCTGTTAGATCAAGTACCAGCTCAGGCTGCCCAGGTCCCATCCAGCCTGGCCTTAAACACCTCCAGGGACGGGGCATCCACAGCCTCTCTGAGCAGACTGTGCCAACACCTCATCACACTCTCAGTGAAAAACTTCCCCCTTACATCTAATCCAAACACTGTTTAAAACCATTCCCCCTTGTCCTATCATTGTAAAATGTTAAACAGGATTTCCCTCCTGTTTATAATCTTCCTTTAAATACTGAAAGGCTATAAGAAGGTGTCCCCACAGCCTTCTTTTCTCCAGACTGGACAAGCACAGTTCTCCCAGCCTGTCTTTATAGGAGAGGTGCTCCAGCCTTCAGGTCATTTTTGTGGCCTTCCTCTGGACCCTCTCCAACAGTTCCACATCCTATACTGGGTGCCCCAGGCCTGACACAGTACTCCAGATGGGGCCTCACATGGGCAGAGCAGAGGGGTACAATCACCTCCCTTTCCCTGCAGGCCACCCCTCTCTGATGCAACCCAGAATACCACTGGTCTTCTGGGCTACAAACACTCACTGCTGTCTCATGTTTTTCATCTACCAGAACCCCCAAGTTCTTCTCAGCAGGGCTGCTCTCAGGAAATTCTCCCATCATTAGCATCTTTCTCGCAGCATACGAAATGACTCCTATTGTCAGTGACATCGACTTTTCTAAGATACAACATTTGTTTGCATGTCAAGAGCATTTCTGTGCACGGGAAGCAGAAAAAAAAAAGTTATACTTTTAATGACAAAACAGCTTGTTAGGTTTTTCATTTATGGCCAATTAAAAAACCACAATATTAAGCAGTAGGGTTTTTTTTTCTTTCCTATTTCGTGCAAATCTTAAAGGATCTGATTTTGTAAGGTAACTTTCCTGCATGCATATTTCCTTACCTGACTGAAGATATCAGACAACAGTGATTAAGTAACAAAGCCCCTGGTGCCTTCTGGGTAGAATTGCTTTAGCATTGAGCTTTAAAGCCGTAGTTGCAATGAAGCTAGCAGATGATTTCCCACTGATTTCTGTTTCCTCAGAGCTGCTTACTGTTCCATTTCTTTCAGAAGGATTTGCAGTTACACCGACACTGTAATGGACAGGCTGTCAGAGCAGCAGTGCTCGCACCTAGTGGGAGGGGCAGGGGTTGTCTCTTACCCACTGGGTAAGCACCAGCCTCCAGTGAGTGCCTCCCGCAGGCTGCACAGTAACAGCAGGGTGTATCTCTCCATGCACCTACCTACGCTCTCCTGACATAGCCGACAGCTTGTTTGCTCTAAGTCCCTTGGTAGTGTTACACAGAGGTGACTATTTCCATGTGAAGAAACACTGTGATCACATTGGGTGGCATTTCCTTAAGCAAACGCTGCAGACCTGTGAATCTCCTTTTTTGAAATGCTGAGCACCTTTCTGCTTTCCCCCTCCAGCTTCCCTCAAATATGAAAACAGACAGTGCTTTTCCCGGGTGGCTCTGACCTGGGTGATGCAGGCCCAGGCAGCACTGACTGACGTCCCTGCCCGGCTGTCCCATGCTCTGTCTGAGGTCCCTTGTCTGCCTGTCTGCTGTCAGCAAGCATTGTCCTGTGCGAGTGCACAAGCATCTGGCTCCTGCATGGGGCTCAAGACCTGGCCAGATAGTTCATATGGTGGGGGCTGCTCTGGCTCGTTAGTCTCACTGACAGGCTCTGTGCTGCTCTCGCTGTAAGGAGGTGGTGGAATGTTAATGACTTCTTGCTCTTTTGGTGCAGAGGCCACAGGTAGTGGGAAGGTCTGCTTCTCAGGGTCAGTGCTGTCTTCATAGGATGGCGGGTAGAAATCAGGCCTGAAAGAAAAGCAGCAAACCAA